ACAGCGCAGACTGCTGCAGTGGCAATCAATCATCATTGGAGTTCTATGACGCGTTAGGACATGATCTTCACCTTGTAGTTTTGACGTAGAGGGCAAAAGCATACTGCAACTCTTATATCTGATCTAAATTATTATTCATCAAAATCTTAGTTGCTATTTATATAATGCTGTTGTATAAATACATATTAAATGTTGCAGTAATATTGTATTGATGTAAGAGGAGAGATACCTGTCCGTTTTTCTAATCCACCGTCTTCTCACCTTACAGACCATGTTTTCGTTTAGACGTAAGTTCGTATTTGAAATTCATAAATATACCAACAAATAAATGGTTTCTACAAATCACACTACGATTTCAAACTCTATTTTTTAACATACAAAAAATAATTAATAAAATTAACAAAAGTTCCAAAACAAGTTTAACAACACATGTAACTCATAAAGAGTTTGTAATTTACGAGGCCCGTCGCTGGCTTTTGTGGCCCTCTGGAGTGGGGTTGCCGCCCAGTGGGCGAAACCCTCTCGTCCGCGCGCTGCCACCGCCACCGCCCACGCCGCCGGGATCCGTGACCAGCGCCGCACGCGACAACAGGTGGCAACACGAGTCGCCGTCACAGGTGGCGAGCTGCGCCCCGTACGAGGACGGGCGACGGAAGCTATGTGGGAATTCATGGAACGGACCTCATCGCTTGTAGACGTCTTCGAAAATAATTAATCTAAAGGTCCCTTTTCACACTTACTGCTTCCGTCGATTTTTCCACAGCAGCTCAATCTTGGGAATTCATGGAATGGGCCGCATCTGACTCTCATAGCTTGTGGACGTCTTCGAAAATATTGTTTTCTCCATTCGACGTGTGATTAAAAAGACGAGGTTGCGATGTTAATGAATTATCATATTATCCACACAGAATGTACTACATTGTTAATTGATTTCGTTTCGCTCTGCAGCGCCTAGGCCAAAGCGAGACGGAAGCTTAATGATACTAAAAAGGATTTGCAGACAGAAGCAAGGATTTATCATAACCGAAATGAGATAAACGCGTGTCTTTATTTTGTTCGAAATATAAATTTATGGGTTTCAAATACAAACTCGCGTCTATACGAAAAAGCCATCTAGATGGTTTTGATATCAAGCCCGCCCTTTTCAACCTGATTTCCTGCTTGGTGTGAATCAATGTACGACTTAAAGTTGTTAGTTGTGAATGGAAGGAATGGTGTCTTGGGTACGAGTATTGCCTTGTAGATTATTTACGGGGAAAAATACTGGGCGGCAGGAAATGTTTGGTTAAGCATAAGAAAAATATCACGTGGGCGCTGAAAAGTCTTCGAGAATTGGTTTTGTTTGTCGCTTCTTACATTAGTGGTGATACTCGTTCAAGAGAATATACTTTCTCGCATTATTTCTAATATTTGCAATTTTCGAAATTTTAGATAGTTCAGCGAAAATGAAATGTGCACAATTTCTAACCGCCCTTTGCTCTATGTTTGGAAAACATTTAAAGAAAAAGTTTGAATCTGTTTATGATAACTTCTTTTTTATAAATTGCATCACCTTCACGTACAAATTCAACGAAAACTAAACCTTTTTCATAAAATTAAACTCAACTTTGTTTAAATATCTAAATTTTTGAAACTATTTTATTTAAAAATAATAATGTATCACCACAGTTTTACTTTGTTAATTGTTAGCAGTTTTCGAAAATATAGAGTTCAAAAATGGTACCAGCACTATTTTTTCCGTTCTTTAAATTTAAAATTTTTAAAAAATTGCAATATTTTGTGAAAAAATAATTATTTAACTTTGCGTGAATTTTAGGCAGAACAACGCAAAAGGTTATCACATTTTCCAAAAATTGTAGGTTGAACTTATTTAAAGATCTGTCTTTGAAGTACATTTTTCAACCACAAAAAATTAATCTATAATATTATAATTGAAGAAAGATGCCGAAAAAAAATTGAACTTTCACAATTATCGACAATTCAGAAATTTTAACGAAAATGAGGAATTTTAAAGACAAAGTTTAATCAAAACATTTCGAAACGTATTTGAGAAACTTTTGAAGGCATAATTGAAGCATCAATAACAGTATCCTTAAAAGCATAATATTTGCTTCATATGGTACAGTGAGAGTATAGTTTACTACACTTCCTTCCCCTTCCAAAGTAATAGAGACAATTTTCTTGATGAGAATCCAATTTTATTGACGTGTTAACTTTCCAAACCACTAGTTATTCTGAAAGAATTTTAGAAGAATATGAAATTTAACAAAGTTTATGTTTTCAAGGAAATGTTAGCCACGTCTCGTACTTCTGAAGCAACATTTTCACATTCATTTTCACATTCTTCTTGGTAAATTTTTGTATGAGAATAGTTGAGTTTTTGCAGGTTGTTGTTGATAGCATGTATTGAGTTCATTACGATTAGACCTTAATTTACAAGTTATTGCAAACAAGTTCACTAAATACATACAGCTTCAGGATCGTCAGCTCACAGTATGCCTTTCGACTTAACCTAGTAGGTACTGCACAAACGTGCTATTTGCAAATAATCAATATTGATCATCACACCTCAACATCATTTCTCTTCGCCTCATCCTTCTGCACCAAATGCTATGTTATGATGGTGTAGGGAATTTCCGTATAGGTACTCGCAAAAGTGATGAAAACATCACAATTGCATTGATGCGAAGGTGCTTGTAATATGAGCCATCAACCTCATATCTGTCTAGTGTGCGGACTTGGATAAAGAGAAGTGGAATATCGTTCGCGGTTCGTGGTCTGGTGTTGAGATATTGCAGCTGCATTCGCTTAATATGGCGAGTAGGCATCCTGAAAATGACCAAACAGTGCAGCCAATGAGAAAACACTCAATAAAATTATCGTCCTGATACTGATTACATTTTACCTGTATCTGGTGTCAGACGTTCGCCACCGACAAAACTGGAATCTGAGATCACCTAGAGTTTAGATTTTCGAGCATTTTTGACACTAAAACATCAAGACAAATGCCATAAACTGAAAAGTATTATAAAAATAATACCCTATTCTTTTCATAAATAAAATAATTCCAAACAGATTGTCCAAAAATGTACGTTTCAAGGTAATTAATAAAATATTAATTTTCATTCACAATGAACTGTCTAAATTCTGATGAATTATTAATTTCACATTGTGAGTTGTTAGACGATGTTTCATTTTTAGGTCGTTGACCGATTTTCCCCTTTAGTGACCGAAGTGCTCATTAAATTACATATACTGTCTATGTCACTTCCGCGTTTTGCTCACATCCAGGAACGTTGTGTTAACACTAGTAATTAGGGAATGCGTTAAGTAGACAGTTTACACTGAGTATTACTATTCCCTATTCTTCTTAATTATGTTCATTTTTCTTTGAACTTTCCGGGTTTGTGGGCTACGTCCAGTGAGGAGTTAATCCTTTGGGTCATTTTGATCCAATCGGAGAAGTTATTTTTTAAACAATGTTTATAATTTTTTTTTTTCAGATTTCTCAATTATTGTTTTCAATAATTATTCATTAAGTACACACACACACACACCCATATAATATACTATATATAGTATATATATATATATATACTATATATATTATATATATATATATCTTATATATAGTATTAATTTAAGCAAGATTTAGTAGCGTCTGTTTCAATGCAATAATCACTATTCCTTCTTGTCACATGTGAATTTATTTTAAAAAAATAATTGCAAGGTATTTCAAATTTAATTAAAAGTCCGTCTTTAATTGGATTGTTTGGTTGAAGTAGATACCTTTTTTTTTATTTGATAAAATAAATAGAGATATTGTCAGGTATCAATATTCTTAATTATCCCTAATGATCATTTCGATTCGCTTAGCGATCATCCTCAGAGCCTAAAAATACAAATATACAATGGTGAAATTATTAACAGGTTGGTTATTGTATACAAGATGCGTAAGCAAACTGGATCGTAACATACCTTGCAGCTTTCTGGGTCGTAAAATGTGGGGGTGCTGGTGGATGCTTGAGAGCAACGGTCGGGCGAGCGATGGTTAGTGGGGTGGGGAGGGAATTCGGAAATTCCGAATTCTAGAAATTTGAGAACAGGTACTGGAACGAATAAAATTAGAAACTTACACTACACAACACCCTCAAAAAACAGAACACGACATGTCTTAACCAACAGATCCCTGATACTCTCTTCACTCTGCTAAAATTAGCACAAAGTGTACACCCCAAAACCCACCCCAGCCCTGCCCACCCACTAACCTTCGCTCGCCCGACCGTCTCTCAAGCATCCACCAGCACCCCCACATTTTACGACCCCAGAAGCTGCAAGTATGTACATCAGTTTGCTTAGCGCATCTTGTTATACAATAACCAACCTGTTAAATTTTCACATTGGTAATATTTGTATTGTTTTAGCTCTGAGGATGAATCGCTACCGGCGATCGCAAATGATCAGTTAGTGGAATTAAAAGATATTACCTGACAATATCTCTATTTATTTACAAAATAATAAGTCGTCTACTTGAAGAATTTTATTAGTTAAGTGTTATGGTTAGTGTAGTATATTATTTATAATGTAATTAAAATAAGAAATTAAAAAATTGTGTTCCCTTCACCGAAATAATGATTACGTAACGTTTTCGCATTTCATTTGAGTTTTCAACTTAAATTGAGACAAGAAGGGGGAGAGAAAACTATCATGGTACATTTCCTCGATTGTCACCATCATTTTCACTTTCCCTCAGATTAAGTTGTTGCGTAGCTAAGACAAAGTATTGTAATGCAGCCGCGGAAAGTGACGATTTGTGGATAAACTGTAGTTACAATTTGCAGTCTTGCATCGACTGCGGTTAGGCAACACCGTACTCTTCGAGCGCTCCGTCTGATTGGCTGTGTTACTCGAAAAGCGTGTTCGAAGTGTATTCTTGTGAATTTCTTTGCTAATAGTTAACTAGTGAAAGAAAAACATTTATTTTTCTTCAAATTCCCCAGGAGAAGAAGATGTAAATGACAACCGATGAAGCGTCAACCACCGGAACAGGCGGACAGCAGGAACCAGCCCGTCCAAGATCTCTCAAGGTGTAGCAAAGATGTTCAAAACGCTATGCTCTTTGATAAAGATCAAAGAATTATTATAGACAGTAAATGTTACAGTATTTCTATAGAAATATACGTTGAAGTTCTAACAGCTCTCGTTCAAGGTAGGCATATTAAGTACGTGCCGAAGATTTTGAATAATAATAATAATATATTATTTTTACAAGTTAGAAGTTAGTAAACAATATTATTGGGAAATACAAAACTATAAATATTGGCGGCAGTGAACCGAATATGAGACCCTACGTTAGCAAACAGAGACTATAGTATTGTGTACACAGTGATTCCAAATTCAGTTATAGAAGACGACCTCGTTAATTTGAATATTATAAGACGTTTCACAGAGTAATTTCTTTTACGCCGACTTTGCAAAGGATACTTTTATGCAAACATTATGCTTTAGAAGGTAATTATACGTGCCTGATGAATCTGAAAATAAAATACCGGATATTATTGTTGTTGAAATTAACGGGGAAAGAAATTGATTTTTTTCTGTTTGCCTGCAGTATTAAGAGTTTTCAATGTAAAAGGGAAGGAATATTGCAAGTTATTGTACAAATATGGCTGCTGACGGTTTATGTAATACCAAAACAATGCATCAAGAAATATATGTTGTCAACGCAAATCTAAGTTCTAATGACTTTCAATGTTTTCTTCCTCTAAGTAAAGATAAACCAGAAAAATTCCATTATCACAAACTACTAGTACATTGAGTACATGTCAAATGTAATTACTCCAAATCGTGCAATTGTTAATGCAAAAATCTCGCCAAATCATCCAGAAGGAAGAAGAAAAAGAACAATGAAAAGACTGATGGAAATAATAATAATAATAATAAGAACAAAAATCATCGATGAACAAGTAGCTCCAGTCGAAAACAAAAATACAAAAAAATCTCCAAATTAATGTCTTATAAGTAACTAAAATTATATTTATAAGACACTTATGGATCCAATAGCACCCTTTCAAAGATCACTATATTACACGAGACAAACGGAGAAATTGAGTTATTAAGATAACTCTATTCTTCACTAGAAGATATAGCAATTAAATCCAGCTTCATATGAATAATGAAAAAAAAACCGATAACCTTTAATTTCTGAATCTTCACAGTTGCCTTCAGATAATTAAGAATTATCAAATGGAGATTACAACAATACAGATTAAAATTATCCAATTAAATGTGAATGAATGGCACCAAATGTGAGTTTTATTAGAAACTTCAGTGATAAAAATGTCGAAGTTTTTGTGTACTCAAGAAACAAAATTTACTTTGGACTGTTTGGCTTCACCGTAGAACAGTATCTATAGTGTTTTTGCCAAGAATGTCAACACCTTAGTATAAAGTCTAAGTATTTGAAAGGCTTGCGAGATAATATAGAAAAGACTAAGATGAAACATACTAATTTAAACTAAGATTAAGGCCAACGTTAAGATCACATACAGTTTCTTCAAAGAACTCATATATGAAAATCATAATTATAATTACGTTTTCTTATCTAACAATTAAAAACTTGTGAATTGTGTTTCACAAGGGTCTATAGTAAGTAGCACTCTGTTATTACATCATATTCAAACGTGTTCAAAAAGTCTTATATGATGTCTCAAGAAATCAACTAGATAGTGGTAATTTTTCTTTGAGCCTGGGTGATCATAAAATTTAACAGAAAATAGTTCAAAATGTTGTTAATGACTTTCGACAAGAAGTTGACTTTAATACTACACATAAAATCACCAAGGAAAGAATGCAACAAAAGAAGGATTTCATTAAGATACTCAATGCTGCGTCTTGGAATGTTGATTATTCAGATATAAGAATAATGTAAAAATCTTTAGTGAAATAAAATATAGAAAAGGGCAACACATTTTATGATGCAGTCAATAAGAGCATAAAGAAAGTACCAGACTTCATCAACACTTCTGGGGCTAGATTAATCTTACATTTAAAAGAATCACATAGGTCGCAATATGGTCATGTTGTTAAAAAGCGACCTAAAAAAAGTCAAACTTACTTTTCTTCTCCCCTTACTGAATTTGTTTTATTAGGTTTTTGTTTGTTCTCAACGACTCAGATGAATAAAAATATCTAGCAAACTCGCATTAATGAACACTTGAAATTATTTTTTTCAAGTAATGTAATCTCTTTCTTTATTACTTTTCATAGTTGAATTTTTAATTGTTGTATTTTCAGATAACTTAATCATGAGAAATAGTTTGCATATGATCGAGTTGCTTGTTCTCTATTATACATCAAATTATACTGCAAACGTGTAAACCAGACGCTGCTACAGTTTAATTTTTTGAAGCATATAATACTTTTTACATTGCGGACTCTCAAGTAGGAACATAAATAGCTCTTCCATGTCTTGGATTTTTCTCGTCTCTTCCCAGAATGACTCCATTTCTCGTCTTCTTGTCCCCCGACCTTCCTCTGAGATTATCATTGCTCTTTTTCCTTGCCTCCGCCAATGGTGCGTCTTCTCTTAACCTGTCCTCCTGCAACGCGGGCTGCATTCAAATATTTTTGTCGTGCCGGATGAAGGACACGTGTCCGTGAGTGGCTACGCGTAGGTCAGTCGCAGGCAGTTTTTTCACGAGCGCCTCAACAAAGCGACGGGGGCAGGGCGGTGGCGGGGCGGGGGCGGGGGCGGACGCGCTCTCGCTGTTTGCGCGCGCGTCGCCTGCTTAGGCATGCGTTCGCGTTCGGCGGCTCTCGTCTCTGGGCGAGCGGCCTCCACGCTGTCAGCGCCCCGCCGCCCCGCCCGCCCCGCCACGCGCCCGCGCACCGCCCGCCACCGCCCGCCACCGCCGCGCGCTCCTTTCACGTCACCCACCGGGGGAGATCACAACAGTATTTATCAATTACAATCAGGGACGCTCACGCGGCCGTCCTGCTCGCTTTCGACTCGGCAGGTCCCGCCCGCCGAGATCTCTCTTTACGTTCGCCGTCCATTCCGTGTACGCATATGAATCTAATTTTAACTGTGCGATACATTAATTTGCCGAACTGTGAACGTGCTGTAAATAAATACGTGTCAACTATTTTAAGAACGTTTTCCTAATATAAAAACGACCAAATTTGCTACAAATGGCACAGACGTCTTCGTACTAGTTAGTTTCCTAATCTCTTTAGTCTGTACTGCCAATTTGGTGTTATCCCATCCTCTCCACAGCTGCTGTCACTTTTTTCCGAATTTTCTCAATTTCAGCCTCTAATTGTAAAATTGAACTATTACTTTAACAATATCGTACACGATTAAGACGTACCCGCATATGAAGATTTCATTTGAAAAATTTGGCGCAATTTGTAAGAAAATGTCGTTTAAGCATTCCTTAAAACGCGCGATTTTGAGCTCATTTTTATAGAAACATTTTGAGTTATCAAGAAACATTATAAGAAATAATACGAAAGACTTTTACTCCAAATTCAATTTTTCATAACAACGTCCATAAATACGAACAGAATAAAAAATATTTCAAATAAATTACAGTTGTGTATTGCTTTAAAAAATCAGAAGAAAATATGAAAGTGGGTTTTAAAAGTAATGAATTTCAACTACATGTATACGAAAAATCTACTTTGGAAAATTCAGATCTAACATTGAAAATATGACCTAAGCCATCTTTGTCAGTTAATTTCACTATATTCTTGCACGAAATTTAAAGAAAAAAATTGTAGTAATTTTTGAGAAAAACTTATAACTTCCCCAGGGCTTGATGTAAAGTATCCGCAAAATTCAAACAATTATTTTCAATTGCAGGATTTTGAATTGGGTCAGAACGATTGCAGAATATTCATTTTAGGGAAAATCCTACTTATAGTTAATGCGTTAATCGTGTTCACAGACTGACTAACGCATAGACACACAGTTGGTCTGGCGTAGAGACGAACTGACGGATAAGGGGATAGACGGACAAACAGACGGACTCCCAGAAGCACAAATAGACGGACAAATAGACGCACAAATAGACGCACAGTCACGGACGGACGTTAACAAAAACATTTTCGGTAGTAGAGACCCAAAAACGTGTATTTGCATAAAAATCACGTAATCGATTTTCCACAATATTACGTAACTTTCTCTATTATACCTATATTACTCCATATATTACTACATATTGAAGAAGTAAATTATTCTTAAGAAAACGTGTCTGAAAAGTTTCCATTTCAGAAATACAGGACTTTGCTGTGAATGATATGACTATTCATTGGTACTAGAAATGTTAGTTTAAAAGCATGTTTAATCCTCAAGAACACTGTTGAAAGCCTACGAAAAGTTTCATTTTTTTTTCAAATCCATCCAGTCATCTCAAAATGTTAACATCAGATATACGAGTTGCCGAAACCAAGAACTTCAAACGCCCGCACAGAAAAAAAGAGATTGGTTCGGGCAAAATTTATAGAATAATATTTCTCTACGTCACAGTACAGTACGTTTTAATTTGTTGAAACTTTGCATGTCAAGGTTTCAAGTTTTCTTAAATCAATGTGTAATTTGTTTTAATGAAATATTTCTCTCTAGCATTAAGTGACTCACATTTATCTTCGAAGAATATTCTATCACGGTGCGATTGTAAGGTTTATGTTGTGTAACACCAGGCTGTATAATTTTGCAGTTACGATGGCTACATGAATGGGCTCCTCTGCTTTAAATAGATTTGTCTGAAAATTCTTGAAGCCTCTTGTCGTAACATTATCAAATTAAGCAGTGGGAGTTGCAGAGAATTCATCACTCCAACAAAATGCTCGACCATAACCGTGAAAACTCAAAGCAAACAATGCGACGAGCATTTTCTCTTCTTCATGTTTCACACTAGTGATTATGTTATTGCACGTCAAGGCATATACGCACAAGAAGTAGCTGTCAAAGCTCGTTTGAAAAACAATGCGACAATTGCACGTCGGTAATTTTCCGAGAGATGGAGGACAAACGTTTTATATAATGTGGATCACGATATGAGGAAGGTTAGTTGCAGAGCAGAGGCCTGCGTGGTGTTAACAACCATTCCCCGTAGCACCTCCGACTTGTTCGCACTGTGTGGCGCCTCCCTGCTTCCTTTTACATAACGTAAATTGTGTGCATTTTTCACTGTTTGCATTTCACAAGCTCAACGGAGTAATTGATGTTAATTGTTATTCTCTACGTTTATTAACAGAAAATAGAGACAGTTCGTGCTTGCTTTACGGTAGCACTAACCACGTCGTAACACGTTGTTGGGTCCTGCTGTTATATTTTTTCTTTAATTTTGACAATTTGGATTCTACTTTATGCAGTATTAATTTTGTTGGAAATACATTACTTAAGTAAATGTAAAAAACTGGTTTTTACTGGAAGAACGGTAATTGTTAGCCATTAGTATATCGCTCTTATTCAATATTACACACCATATTTCTTTCAACTACATTCCTTCCCTAACAGCAAACCGTTCTGCAAACTGAGGTTGCAATCTCTTAGTTAAGGCGAGAATAAAACAAATAACTAACACGTTG